AAAAAAAACGACTAAGTGTTTTAAAAATTGAAAAATATTCTAAGTCCAAATAAATTAAAAAATAAACTAAGTCCCAGAGAGTAGAATCTTGAGTAGAGTGTCGCAGATTTTGTGTAATTTAAAATAGCCGAAAGAACTGATTTTAATAGGAAAAAATGGGTTTTTATAGTAGACGAGGGTCGTGTAGCGATCCCTAGTGTGATCTTAGAAACTGTAGATCTCAATTAATAGTTGAATGTGATTGGCTGGACTTAGTTGAGAACCCTCACATGGGCGTGACTTTGAATCTGTACGATAATCAGATTTAATTGACTACTTTATTGATTATTTTAAGTCTTAGATAAGGGAACCCTGTTTTGGTGATCTTGTGAATTCATAATATATGACATACATGTACATAATATAACATAATATAATATTTTAATATTATAAGTTATAATATAATATTACACTTTTCTTGTCACTCCACTCAACCAACTAAGCATTAAATTCTACAACAATGTAGTGAGACTAGCTACGATGTATGGTTCAGAGTGTTGGGCGGTTGATAAGAAAGTAGAGCAGAGAATGAGTGTAGCAGAGAAGAATGCTTAGTTGGTTGAGTGGAGTGACAAGAAAAGATAGAAAAGGAACGAGCATATTAGAGAGAATGTAAGTGTAGCGTCAATTGTGTATAAGATGAGAGAAAATAGACTTAGAAGGTTTGAATATGTTATGAGGAGAGAAGAATCGGAAGCTGTAAGAACAGTTATAGAAATTAATGTTGAAGGAAGAAGAGGTAGAGGAAGACCAAAAAAGAGATGGAGGGATGCTATTGAATGCAATTTGAGGACAGTTGATGTGAGTGTAGAAGATGTTGGAGATCGTGTCAAGTGGAAGTTTAGGATGAGGGTGGCCGACCCCAAGTAGTTGGGATTAGGGCAAAGAAAAAGAAAAAGATTAGCAAAAATTCTGGTGGCAATTGACATAATATAAATGTTTTTTAGGAATGTACAATTTAGCGTTTAGTTGGGTTTAAACAATATAGCGTCAAATCAATTACTTACTCTATCGGTTGTATCTTATTATACACTACACTTTAATGATACTATAAATAAATAAACTTACACATACACACATATGCATTTATAACATTTTGTCTAATGTAAGTATAACATGATAAAAAGTAACCGTAAAATGAAAAAAATTGGAAAATAAATTTTAGTACTCATATTAAATGTAATGTATCTCGAAAAATATTTGTTTAAATTAAAAAATATAAGATACCTTTTTTGTTTAAAATTGTTTTTTAAATAACTTTTGTACGAAACTTTTTTTTGTAAGTTAAATATTTTTTGAGAAAATTAAAAAAGCTTATATTTTTGAACTTTTGCGAGGCTGTAAAAAAAAA